GCCTGGAATCCCAATTGATTGGGATTCCTATAATATATAATACATACCACCCCCCCTAACCTAACCTGGCTTAACTTAAGGAGCAACACAATATCCCTAATGGGTACAGTCACCTGGGCAACCCTATGCACTGTGTACAGCTAACTGTCTGATGGGCAACTGTAAGCGGATTAGCACCATTGCTTAATGGAGCATCATGTGTATGCTTGTAACACTTGGAGTAGGAGTAAAATCATGACTTGATGGCACAAATGAGAGTGGGAGTTTCCTATGAGTTCTCTGCCCAAGCTACACTTACATACAAATTCTGAAGCATTGAGGTTGCTTCTATCAGTCATTTATGTTATACATGCTGGCATTCTAACCCTTTCACTGCCAACTCTGTATATATCTGGGTGCCACTTCACAAAGGTACCATTCTTATATATATGCATCATAGTGCGGCCTATATAAATCTGGTCAGATGTTTATGTCCATCAATTCATTACCTTCGTTACAAAGATGAGCATGCTTAATTCAAATTAATACTATCTTTAGCAGACAAAAGCCTGAAATATTCTTGCACAGGAGTTACCACCTCTAAAACAAAACTTAGCAGTTAAAGGGTTACCACTTTCAGCCATGGCAATTTGAATGTGCCATGGGCATAGGACGTGATGGTGATGGCTGCAGGGCTCCAAGTATTCAGCAAGTAAGCATGCATTTCAATGTTTGGGCAGGCCTCAGTGTGCATGGTAGTTTTCAGGTGTTGGGCAAATTTGCAATAGTCTAGAATGTGCCAACCATAGGATTTGGCAAGGTGTCATTGAAAAAACATGAAAGTCAAATGGAAAATGCATGGAATTTAACATTTATGGTTTGGTTTTTGATGTCAGGAGGCATTCTTGCTCATCATGATATCATATTTTGAGGTGGAATGTTCTTACTGGTTTAAATTAAAATTCTTATACAGTAACATGAGGAAGTGGGACTATGATGAGACTAGGTTTAGACCAACATAACCTATTCTTATGTAACCTGACATGGTCTAGTGTGCTTAAGTATATATTTGAAAGTGAAGATCACTATTGTTTGCATACATTCTCTAGATCTGCCAGTCTTGGTAATTGGCCTATCAGATATCAGGTTGGAGGCCCAGGATCAGTTCAGGGTAGTCTTTAGCTGGCCCTACTGGCTGTGATGTATTAGATGGGACATGCATTCATAAGTGGAGCCATGGAGAATTTGAAGGCAATTCAATTTGCCTCCATGCCTGGTTTTCATACTTTAACATCCTTTGAATGATGGCTTGTAAAGAAGCCTACATGCATTGACCTGCATGGATTTTAGCAAAGAATATATTCTCTTTATTTTGCTATTATTTCAGATCTTTTCAGCAGCTGAATGAAAGTTTAAAGCCTGTCAGTTTGCCCATACCCCAAAGGTTAGTACTAATGTGTTAATGCCATTGCCAACATTGGCATCAGTGCCAAAAACTATTATTATTATTATTATTATTGTTATTCCATGTATTTATAAATGATGGCAAAAAAGATAAAGACAATGCACACACATGAAACAAGGATGCAAGCAAGGGAAAACATAGGGACATGGGGAGACAGGAAGAGACAATGTAAATAGTGGACAATTAGGGCATATATGGAACCACTTGGGGTCACTCTGGGTGGCTGAGCTGGGATGCAAAAATATGTATTACAGTTGACTGCATATTGGATAACTCCTTGGACAAGCTAACTTTATTCTTAAATCTGGAGTTTTCTAATTACTCTAACCATCTTCTGTGTCGTTACATGACTCTGGGCTGTGCAATGGTATTCCAATAAGCATAGCTGTGTAGAAGAAATATATATATATTTCCCTCAAACTTGAGGGTGACAAATTGGAATTTCCTGGGAAGGATATGCAAGTGGACTAAGTGGACTGCCCACCCGCATGTCTCAGTTCCTGCAAACCATTCCATTATTCCATTATACCTAGTCAACTGTAGTGGTTTTTTCTTTTTTTGAGACATCCAGTCAGAATATTACCACATACTGAAGGTGTCTTCCCCTTTGGGAAATCACACAACTAATCATGCCGTATAATTTCTGTGGATAATCTGCTTCATCAGTTATGTGTCATAGTTGGGTGCCCCATGTCATCAAGTGTGATTTTTGGCCCAGTCTTTATTGACACAATGGTGGACCAAAATTTTTACCTCTGCATCCTCCAAGAGCAATTCATCCTGTTTCTTATGGGCCAAGGAACAAATTGACAGAGTTTGGTTTTAGCAGAACAGCATAGGTTCTCATCAACATTAGCAAATGTCTCTGTACTTTTTGCATTAAAATATTTACTTGAGAGTCCTGTCTAACATGACATTTCTGTCACCTGACCTCAATCTGTGGGATTTATTCTCTTGGGAATATCTCAAGAACAGGATATACAAAGAAAATCACAGAACTTTGGAAGCACTAAAAGTAGCGACTGAAAGTGATAACCATTCAATTTCTACCTGAAATGCTGGAGGCTGTGATAAGAAATTACACTGCTTGGATTCATCATCCAATTTGGCAAAGGGGGGAACACTTTGAGTATATGTGCCTGTATAATAAAAACACACATATCCTTATGCTATAATTATGCCAAGTTGCATGAGCTTGAGTTAATCCATTGATTTTAAACAGTTAATATTTAATTCATCACCAAGGGATATTGACTCTGTCACAAAGAAGTAATGATTAATCTCTAGATTTTAGTATTTGGTCACTCAATGAATTTACATCACCAAATTATTATTACCATCATCAAATTATTTTGTCACCAGACCTTATGAATCTTACACCAAATTCTCCCTCAGTATTTTCACCAGATGCCATGAAATGACCACCAAATTTTATTGAGTTAGCACCATATCATTGTCACATTTCATGTGTCAAAAGAAATAAAATTTTCTTTTTGCAGGCCTGCAGGGCAGGACACACTGATTATCCCTGCTGTAAATTAGCATTCCAAGTGAATATTTGCCAGTCTTGATCCAAACAGGGCATGTGCATTCAAAATTTGGAGCTCTCACAACTCAGAGGGAGAGTCTTGTTCTCATAAAGTTCTCCTAATGCTTCAATTTTCTGATGAGATACTCTTATGCACTTTTCTGAAACTATTCCCTTGTGGGGTTGCCATCACTGCAGGCAAAGAAGGCTTCTCTCTTTGTTTCAATGTCCTCAAGCTCTCTAGTTGCCATGGCACCTTGAATACATATGGCACAGAGAAACTGGAAGTCAGTGTTGTACACAACTCCCATATGTGTACACAAGCACAAGGAGACTAGTTACACAGGTCCTTCCCTGAAGTCCCTCCCAGTGCATGATATGATCTTACAATCTCATCTTGACATCACAGGTCTAACTGGAAAAAACAAAAAACCCTTTCCTTGATAAGGGTTGCAAATGCTGAGAATGTCATAAGTTCAATGATGACATTATTTTTTTGGTGTGGTTTTAGTTTTCTTTCAGGAAATCATGGCCCTGAGCTTACAAGAATGCACTGAGATCATTTTGTTATGTGGACGTGAAGGGTGGTCACGAAGAAGAGTTGCAAAGGAATTCAACAACAATCAATCCCTATGATGCACGACTTTGTGGACACCCTGTAGATGTTTCTTATTACATTCCCTCCTGATGTCTCATTCACTAGCCCACCACAGGATCCTGACCATTTTTGCAGGAAAACATGGCTTTATAATTAAAGCAAGGAGAATTTCTCGTGAACTACTTGTGATACCTCGTACATACACATTTGAAGCACCAAAATGTTATATTTTAAAGTCAGTATTCACATCAGAATCACTCTCTGCTATAATTTATTTGATATTGCAGTCTTTTGAGTGTTTCCTTTTGTCTTGAACCAGCCATCTTGGATAACATTATAAATGTAAATAAGGGTAGATATTCCAAAGAGTGTTATGCCATCTATTAGCAGAACATTCTAACTAAGATGACTATTCGTCATTGCTGAGTGAGGAAAGAGTATAGGCACAACAAACATCATTCAAAAATCCTGTCTCAAAAAGGTTCAAAGCATGACATGCATCAACACTAGGACTGTATCGATCTTTAGATCAGAAACCGATCTTCTGATTTTTTAATGTTTCCTTGTGCATCGAACACGCATCGCATCTCTTCTTTCGATTTAGATTTCCCGGCATTTTGTAGCAGGCCGAGGAACTTCTACCAGGAGACAGTGGTAGACACAATCTGCATTCATTACGAAGAACGGAACTTGGAACTTAAAAGTACGTGGCCATTAGCTTGGCGTGGTCAGGAGCGCAACTTCTTCCTACTAAATGGCAGCAGACGTAGGAGCATGTGCGAGAAGCTGCTGCATTCCCATTCCAGGACCATTTTGTCCTATTTCTTATTTGGGACCATTTTGTTTGGATACCTATTAGTGTGGTAAGCACTCTGTGGGGTGCACCCTGGATTTTTCACACATATGCAGGTATTTACACAACCTTGTAAAGTTATTGTTAAAGTTATTATGAGTGAAACTTTGAGAAAATGCTTTCATATGAGGTCATCCGAAAAGTAATGCACACTGGAAAAAATGGAATTTACCTCTAGAGAGAGAAAGACCATTGCAGCCTTTTAGTATATTCTCTGTTCTTCCCAATGACCTTATCCCATCGACGTGGTAGGTCTGTGGTGCCAGTTAGCACCTGGTATGTACGTGGACGTACACCTCTTTGCGATTTACATTTGAACAAATTTCCAGTTGTGTCAGTAAAACAATTTTACAATTTGCACCATTTACACAACTTTGCATTTTATAAAATCCCATGTCCAACCAGGATTTTTTGAAGAACATCTTAGAGCAAAGCAAGTGCTGTTATTTACTGAAAATGAAAGAACAAAGTTCATTGCTGCATGTCAAAGGTAGTCAAGAGGTTGATTTTTGGAAGTTCTTCATTTGTGGGATTCTTTTTATACCTGTACTCAGAAAAAAACTTATTCCTGTTGTTCATATAGACAAGTAGTCCAACTGTCACCCAAGGCTTAAAAAAAAAATACTTCTTCCTTTAATATTTTTTTTTTCTTTATGGGTATTCTCCATTTTCTGAATACAAGGTCAAGGTTTTCATTGAAGTTCTCATATGCAGTATCTACATCTTTTATTTCCAGTATCTCATTCCAGTTGTATTTTCTTAATATTTCTTATAATTCATTTCAATGAAGTTTTTTTTTATTCATGACAGCCTCTAGTTTTTCCACCTTTGAATCCATTCTCAAATACATGAATATCAATGATTTTTGCTTGTTGCCAAACATAGAGGAATGAGAAAGGTGGAACAGCTTTTGTGGCTCACCCTGCATGTATTCCGCAGGCCTCCACCCATTTGTGCTTGAGGTGGATTGGCGATTCTTGGAAACAGTAAATTGATTTTGGCATCAACCAGTTCTTACAGATTTCAATAAATGTCTGCAACCTAATTTTTGCTTTGCTTATGTCAGATTTTTATGCGACTGATGTATGGGTGTCTATTCTTTTGATGTAATGCAGTATACCTGCAGACAAGCTATGTTCAAGCCTATCCATTGAAGGTCAAGCATCACATAGGCTGCTATGACTCTGAATGCTGGAATTAAGGCTGTTATGATAGTGATTTTTAAATAATTCATGCTTAAACCTTATCCATCAAAATAGCAATGTGATCTTTTGAGAGCATAAAAAAGGGAGGGGGAGTTGCATATCATCTACATACCTAACCTGTACATTCTTATACAAGGGAAAGACATTTGACCAACATTGCTAAGTATTGACTAGGTCAATACAAGACCTATACTATATGGGTGTTACACATATGTGGGTTTATGCCCAGCCTTCAAGGAATAATTTTTAAGGAACTATGCCCAGTGCATGATTAGGCCTACAGTGTTTCCGGATTTGACTTGAACCTCCCTACCCCCTACCTCTCCGTGGCGCTGCTGCCTGCAGCGACGTGAGAGACATCTTGTCTTTACCATCATTACTAATGACGCGTTAACTAGTTTGACAAGAAGGGTGACAGTAGAGGTGTTAGTGTGTCAAGTCATAAGATCCGTTTTAAGTACGCAGATGCGCTGCCTGCTTAAACTGAAAGTGAGGTTAGTATAATACAAAAATCTGAAACGTAGATGGATTTCATATTGACTTGGGCCAAAACTGTACCATCTAGTACTACTTGTCATTAAAAAACAAGTAACCAAAGAGGTGCTTGTAAAGACAAAAAGGAATGTGTCTCTCGGTAGATGGGCCACGACTTCATTATGAGATCGGGACATTTTCAAGGATAGGGCTCTTTTATGAGTGCATGAAAAACATGACTACATTGTTATTCTCTTGTACCACATGATTTCTCTAACATATACAGGGTGACCCATTTGAAAAGTTTGCCAATGAATGGCCATGTACAAAAGAAACCACTGTACAGAAGAAGCTGAAACTGGGCATGTAAACAGTTTGTAGTATGGGCTTCTCGAATCCGTAGAAAAATAAAAAGTAAAAAATTAGAGTCAAAAGATGGCACCACCAGCGCATGTCACATGGTCAATTGCAAAGCAAACTACTGGATGGATGAAGTTGAAACTTGGCATATGAACTATTGGCAGCATGGGCTTCTAAGGATGTGACAAACAAGCATGGTGATGCACAAGTGTTACAGCGATCTGACTAGAGCTGCTGCTCGATGTGGGCTCTGTGCTGAGTGACGACGGCTTCTAGGTGGTGTAGGATATTCCCAACTGCAGCTGAGAGCATTTCCTTCGGGATCATGGCGATCTCATGCCGTATGGCAGTCTTCAAGTCAACCAGCGTGGTGGGACCATGACGATAAACACGGGACTTCAGTTATCCCACAACCAAAAATCGGCTGGTGTGAGGTCGGGAGTTCGAGCAGGCCATTTAATTGGGAAGTGTCTGCTGATTATGCGATCTCAGGAATGTTGTTGGAGCAGAGCTTTAACGTTTCTGGAAACATGAGGAGGGGCACAGTCCTGCATGAACACAACTTCATCCAGAACGTTTCGCTGCTGCATGTCCGTGATTACGTGCTGCTCTAATAACCGTCTGTAGCGCTCTCCTGTTACAGTGACGGTTTTGAAACCGCGCTGTGTGGGTTCTTCGAAGAAGAAGGGGCCCAACAGGAAGTCCTATGTGAATCCACACCACACGGTGACTTTGTCATCGTGGAGAGGCTCTTGGACGATGGCGCAGGGGTTCTCCTCTGCCCAGATAACGCAGTTTTTGGTGTGGACCGTGCCATGGAGAGTGAAGTGGGCATCATCACTCCAAAGGATGCTTCCAAACCACGTTTCATCAATGTCCACATGTGCAAGGAGCTCCAGTGCAAAGTTGTAACGCCTCTCCATGTCGGCAGCTGACAAAGCCTGAACTCGATGAATCCGATATGGAAACAGCCGAAGCGCAATTTTCATCGTCCTCCGAACTGTCTCTACCGGTATTCTAGTGCGATGTGCAACAGCCCTAGCACTGACAATACCAACATGCGATGTCGCGCTTTCTTCATCTACAGTCAATGCCACTCCAGCAGCCATGTCTTCGGAAACCCTACGGCTTCTTCTCTTCTTCAAATTGGCCACAAATCCTGTCTTTCCAAAATTTGTCCCAAGTTTTCCCAACGCTGCTCGTGAGCATGGACCTTGGCGCAAGTTGTGGCTTCGACGGTACGACCTTAAGGCGGCCTCTGCATTCCTCCCATTTTCGTAAAACTTCTGTATCAGTTCGATCCCCGTAGTGGGCGCTAACATGTTGACTTCCACTGGTTAGGTTCCGTACTCTTCCAGTCCGTGGTCATCCATTGATCTTTTATACTGTTTGCTGGGCTACGTGACATGTGGTGCCATCTTTTGACGCTTTTATTTTTTATTTTTTATTTTATTATTTTTTTAATTTTTATTTCTTCATTTTAATTTTAATTTTTAATTTTTATTTTTTAAATTATTATTTATTATTTTTCTATGGATTCGAGAAGCCCATACTTCAAACTGTTTACATGTCAAGTTTCAGCTTCTTCTGTCCCGTGGTTTCTTCTATACATGGCCATTCATCGGTAAACTTTTCAAATGGGTCACCCTGTATGTATTTGCGAATATGCAATTATGTGGGGATTCACCCATGTAAATGAAATCTGTTCCCTCTGCTACTTCCTTAATGTTATGTTTGACAACGTAGCAGTGACTGAAATTTGATTAATATCGATAATATCAGAATTTATTATGTCAGCGTGGACAAACTATAATTATCTTTTTAGAAAAAAGCTTCGTATTTTGATAGTAGGAAAAACTTTTGAACCACACCTTTTCTCTTGCACTGCCAATTTATTCCGGGAAGCATAAATCTCATCCGAAATTTTTATTGTGACCTTGCATCTCTTTATTATGTCATTTAGGGTCACCAGCTCAATGTGCGTCACATCCTTGAAGGGTCCAGTGACATCTTCCATGAGCCTGTAAGAAGTTACAGTGAAGTTGACGACTCGATTAGGCCTCTATTGCTTGAAAGGACATCTGTTAAAAGTGATAAAAGTACCATTTTGCCAAGCCGCCAATAGGGTCCATTGAAAAGTATGGAGTCAAAGTTAATGGGGAGTTAAAGTAATTTCGGAAACACTGTAAGTGAACCAATCACCCATTTGTATGAAAATGAGTGATAGGGGTTGATACGGAGGAGATGTGCATGGAGATCAAATTACAAGTCTGTGACAGACCGTTTTTAATATAAAATGGACTGCTCTCGTGTTGAGTGAGGAATCAGTGGCAGACAATTGAGATGAGAAGACTAGGTATGGGTTGCAGAGTGAGTTGATAAAACTCTTGGTTGCATATCGAGCAGTAGGTAATGAACAAGATTTTTCCGAAAAGAGGCCAAGGAACTGTGAACATTTTGTTAACATGTCTCCAAGTTATAAAAAATAACAAAAATGCAATAGTTTATTGGCATCCCCTTCGCGTATGTGACATGATTGGCTTTAATTGAAACCCCTCCCTTGAGATACATGGCTTCGTGCTGTCAAGGCCAGTTGATTTGCAAGCCATTCAATGAAATGGTGCTGAAAAGGAAGGGAAACAATGTCTTCACATGCTTGAGGTGGAATTGATCTCTTGAATTTTTTCTTCACTGGCCTGACTTTCTGTTGTGTGATTCTAAAATAAACCCAAAGGTATGCTTATTGAATGCTTTGTGAAATTTACATAGCCCATTTGTATGGCTGAATTCTAAATAAACCCCTTCTCATTAATTGTTGCAGATAGACGTGAATTGAGAATGGGAGGTGATGAAACCCAGAGGTTGCCAACATCGGATGGTAAGGTGAAACGCAAGGCAACCTTGCAGCATGAGAAAATCCTTGCCGATTCCTTTTGCCTCGAAGCTGGAAGATTCCAAGTTCACGTGGATGATGTCGTGTGGGACTGTATGCTGAATCAGGTTTGTCCATGATAAGATCCTAAAAGCTTGGCCAGGGCATTGGATGTGCCCTTGTCAAAGACCTGGACAACTGATAAAAATTATGACATACAGAGTTCAAGACAGGAACTTTCCTAAACTGGATGGGCTCATTGATTTACAACTTGTGTGGGGAGACCCACCATCACCTTCCCCTCTACTTTGAAGTTTTTCCAATCCAATCCAAGAGCAACAACAACAAAAAAAGAATTTCATTTAATGAAATTTGAAAATAATTTTACAGGCATGATTCACATTCCATCTGAAAAAAATAAAAGTACAAGGTAATAAAAGTGTACTAGCGGCCTGCGGTCGCTACGTTGGCCGGCTAATGGCTCGAAATGTGAAAATGTTTACATAAAGATATGAAGCAGTTCGGTTCGAACCACACATGAAAAAATTTGAAGCAAACCTTGAGAATTTCGAAAGTGTTATCGGCCAGCTAATTTTATCATCGAGACCACATCTCACGTATGAAGGAATGAAAGGAAATTGGAATTTGGAATCTACTGGGTGTTCCGAAAGTTTCTGAACCACCCCCACAAATTATGACTTAATCCTATGTCAGCCAGTGTGAAAACATCCTGTTTACACACACGGGCCACATGAAGATTTGTGATATGCTCAGACCAATAAAAGGCTGTGCTGAAAGGCTGTGCTGAAAGGCTGTGCTGATGCAGGACGGAGCCCCATACCACACGGCTGGCTTCGAGTTCCACGCCATCGAAGAGACTTAGGTGCAGGTCTAGAAGACGTTACCAATGAACTTTCTGGGCCTCAGCACCTGGAACACCTATGGAACAGGTTCCTGCAAAGTGCTTTGCGTCAGCTCAGCACCAGAAATCGGGCGTCAACCATTTCCAGGGTTCTCAGTGGAGTGAGAAACCATTGCAAAGAGTGTCATCCGTCGGTTGGTTGAGAACTTCGGGACGCTGATACGAGGTTCCTCCTGGTCCGAGGAAGTCATATCAAGTAATATTGTAGGAATTGGTACCTTTGATATTCTTGAAAATGTGGAATGTAACTAAATCAGTATGTTCCCGTTAATATCGGCTCTCTTTTAATTTCAGTAGGTCAGAACTTTCGGAGCACCCTGTACAACACTTCCTTGTACACGACATTGTCAGTTAAAACGCCATTATCGGTGGGGGGCCTTGCCTTTGCCCATCGACCACTTGAATTTTGAGGCAATCGGTAGACATGACTCGAGAACATGCAACATATAGCTGACCGTGAGAGAAAACGGGCCCCGGCAGCAAGAGACCAACCATGTCAAACGTTTGTCCCTGAGCTTTGTTGATGCTCATACTGTAAGCAACGTGACTCAGCGCCGCAGGCTTGTTTTCAAACGTAAACGCAATTAATTGATCCCCAACAAAGAAATTCAAATTACGTCTCAGGAAAAGAGATACCATCGACAAAAAATGCGACACTTTTTACTTGATTGAGAATTGTCTCTTCTTTCGAATGGGGTAAACCACGTCTCAATCAAATCTAGCATTATGAAGTAATTTCAAAAGGTGGACAGGACTCTTGACACGCCCTGTAGTAATTGTCATCTACAGGGGTGAGTCTTTTAAAAGCAGATAGATTAAAAGTACACTAACGTTTTTATGGCTTAGCCCATGGCCTAGAATGGCATGGCATCGTAGGCCTCACGCGTTAGGGGTGACAGCTGCCACAACTTTCAGCCTCTTTCAATTAAAGTATTAGATATTAGATTTACATGGGCTTCCACTGACAAACGTGATTGTTTAATGCTAAAAATCCTTGAAAGGATGACTCGTAACAGATATAAGTGCCAAACTGTTCAGTGTTGAGACTTTCAGACAATTTCCCAATTATGCATTATACCTTTTGCAACTTGCTTTTCGATAGTTTGCAATTCATTTTCGGCATCTAGTGAGTGAAGAATGTCGTTGGGAATATGTGTAAAAAATGGTAGCAGTTTCGGCAAATCAGAATCGGCTTTCATCCATGAGAACTGGATCTCATTCGGAGACATACTGGCTGGTATGCAAGAACGTATAAAACCGATAAAATATCAATAGCTATTTTTGGGGGTATCATATGATAAGTTTGATAGGTTGGCCGTATGCAGAAACATTTTATACCTATCATGATAGGGTATCATGATAAGTATAAGAATCGCTTCAATCTATTATGATCCAGAGCTTGTTTATTCTGCTTATAACGTGCTACATGGGTGGATTGCAGTGCATTTTATTAACCCAATTAATTATGTTAACCGTCGCAACTTGTGCTGATCGCAGTTACTCTGAGATCGATTAAATCCCGTAGAATTCTTTGTATCAAGCCACGGCAGTCGGAATTCAAGCACTAGTATGGTAAACGGGGTCAGATTAATACCGTTAAATCATCACACAACACCCTGGTCAGTCATGTGAGCAGATACACATGGCATTGTTCTTGGGCGGGAGACGATGGATACGAGGTTGTCATCAGGATGATTCACGAATATAGGTCTTACCTATTCCTTCATACCTATTATGACAGGTATAAAATACCTATCATAACAGGTATGAAGATGCCTTACATAATAGGCCTCACGATGGATACCTATCATGATAGCTACCATGTAATAGACTATCATGTGATAGGTTCTTGCATACGGGCCACTGTTTCGTCAATGAAAAGTCATTTTCGACGTTTCCTATGGAAGCAAAACTGTAAGTAAAATACGGCGACTCTCGAGATCGTCCGCGGTGTTTGAAGTTCGTCAACGAGCAAGTTTCCTTCAAAATCCTGATAATGGAAGACATTAATGTCAAAGCAATTTTAGAATGAAAGTTGCTATCATTACTGTATGAAGAGTATTTTGTGCTCTAGTGTGGATCTTAGGAGTAGGTTTGAGACTCCCCCTGTGGATAATCATGTGGTATTCATTCGAGTGGAGTGGGAAGGGCTATTTGATTATCCAAGTAATGAAAACCTTTAAGTCTGCAAAAAGAAACGCTATAAATTCAGCCTACAACTGAGTTTACTGTGAAAAAATGCTGTAAGTATGTCAAATGGAATCCGCTGGCAAGAGATTCATATTTCATTTTCGGCATTCCATAGTTGAAGAATGTCTGCAGAAGTATCGGTGAAAAGTGACAGCATTTCCGGCAAAACGATATATGTTATCGTCCATAAGGGATAAATTGTATTAAGAGACACACGGTTTCGGCAATGAAATGCCATTTTCGGTGTTCCGAAGGGGACATTCTTCCCTTACTGTCCTACGTGAAACTGAATGTGGAATACGGCGAATGGAATCTCAAGATTGAAGTGGAATAGGAATACATTTTCACGTGACACTTTCCGGCAAAAATTCGCTATCGACGAGCAAAAATGAAGTCGAAATGATTGCGAGTGAATACTCACAGAATGTTCCTCGGTAGAGTCAATGCAAATTTGAGACATTTCTGGGAAGATTGTTATGGGACGTTCTTACGAGTGGAATAGGAATTCTATCAGAAGGGCTGCGGGATAGGCAAAAGTTCCACCCGCATTTCAGTGAAAAGCGAAAACATCTCCCTAATTTGAAAATATGTCACTCCGACTTTAACCCGTTATTACCCATTCCTAGGACGAGAGCAGCTCCTAACACATGTTTGCGAGTCGAAATATGTTAGCGACTACACAGGTGCTTCACTTTTGTTGCTCGATCCTGCTGAAAAGTGGGCCCGAGTGCCGAATATCGTCATTTGTGCCGAAACCCACTTTCCTCGATCAGTTTCATTCGCCGACCGTCCGTTTTGTGTTTTCCAACTGACGAAATGTTGGGAGAAGTGCTGAAATACTGGAATAAGGTGACGGGAATATCCAACCATGGACAAAACCTGCCGAGCATCATTCTCTGTGCCGAAAATTCATACTGAACGCCGATATCCAAATTCACAACGTTAGTCCCCTTCCATTGAGAAACAAAGGGGAAAATGTACCAAAATTAATTACAAGTCTCATTAAGGGGGATTACAGAAGGTTTAAAGCTCCTTGATATCGGAATGCATTGCTGACAACGGTTGTTTTATTAATCACGCAGAGTGCAAGATTTCTGAAGATGTGCAGCGACTTCCTGTCATTTCGCCGGTCTCTCATTATTGTGGTAGTGATCCGACTGAATGGTGGCTTCCCCGATCGAATGTTGATAAACTCAATTTCCAGCTCGAATTTTTTGTCGCCGCTCTTCAATTTCTTCTCTTCCTCTAACGAACTACGAGGAGGAATACCGAAATGCAGGTACAGGATGCCGGAAATGATTCCTTTCGGAAAGTTGGCCGAACATCATCTCCTGCGCGCCGAAAATTCAGCTAAAACGCCAATTTTTCAGTGCATTGCGCCTATATTCACTTTCCATTCTGAAAAACATGGGGAATCGCGCCGGAAATGAATTGCAAACCATCTAAAAGCAAGTTGCAAAAGGTATACGGAGTAATAGACTTCAGAGGAATGTTCATCTACAATGTGCAATAGCCACAGGAGAAGAAATTCCATCAACTTCCACGAAATTGGGGATGGAGCGGATGATGGTGAATGACGCGGTCGAAGTGGAACGAGAGGGAAAGTTATGGTGGGGGAATCTAGGTGTTCCACTGGGTCGAATTCTTCTCGAAGGTACTTGGAATTTTCGAGCGAGGTAACGTTTCCTACGGTTAGACCGATTCGGTGTTGAGGTTTGTCCAGGTTCCGATATCGATCTACCTAGGATGTATTTTCAATCCATCCTTTGGGGTATCCGGGGTGAAGCGAAGTCTACCGACGGGTAGATTGCTTAGACATTGAATCTCTGCTATTACAGAAGTGGTGGGTAAAGGTGGGGAAACAAACGCCAGACCCGTGACTGATACTGGAAAGGTCGAGGAGCTTCTCACTCTATTAATAGATTCTTGATTTCCGTGCCGTCTCGCACGTAGACCATTCTAGAGTTTGGGACGAATCGAGACTTCATCCATTCCACGGTTTCGAAGATTTGGCGTTTTCGTAGTATGCCAGTCTCGTGCATTTTCAGGTTTTTTCCGATGCACGTGTCCTTGATGTCTTTGGAGACCTGCCGTTCATTGACTCACTTTCGGCAATCACTGTCAGATTATGCTCTGCCAACTGTCGAATACCTTGCAGTTGGGTTTGGTTTTCCTTTTCTTCCTCTTCGGAAAAATCAGTCAGGATTTCAAATCGATTATGGGTTAATATACCAGGTGGGGTTGAAGCATGGGAAGGAAAGTTCCTCGTACCGCTTATATAGGTAGTTGATATTTCATGGGCAGGACGAATCCGTATTTGACTGGAGATGGTGGACGTCCTGTCGTCACTTTGAGGTGTCCTTTTCGGAAGGTAATAAATAGATTAGATCGGCGGGTCGGTTAATAGGCGGTATAATGCAAATTTCCGGTGTTTCTGCAAAACGAACTTTCTTCATTTTCCGAGTAGGGGGTCCCTTTTTGCCACACACCGCTTTGACAGGTATCCGGTTCTCATCTTGATAGGGGATGACAGTGGAGCCGATTTTTAGTATCTGCTCCCCGAAATCCAAGGTGGCTTTGAATTCATGAAAAAAGTCCATGCCAAGGATTCTATCAGCAGTGGAGTAGGGGAGAGTTCGGCAGACAATGAAATTTTGTACTTTGCCCTTCTGATTAGGCAAACAGAATGAGGTCGGAGGTTCCACTAACCGCAATGGAATGTTGTATATGATCACTAGGCTGCTGTAAAAGGCACTTATGCATTTTCAGCTTACTTTTACTTTGAATATGATTGTGTTTTCAAGTAAATATGTAAAAAAATTAATGAAGTGAAACGAAACCATCCTACTCTACCTGCTTTATGTTGCATTGCTTCTTGTATGTACTGGACCCAAGTACAGGGTGTTTCAAAGTAACTGTGCAACAGAGACATACCAGTCTTGTGCAGAAAAATGAGTAATTCAGAAAAATGCATTTATGGATAGTAATTAAAACAAAACACCACAAAAAAGGAGGTAACAGAATACCATTTTGAACAGTTCATGTACAGTTCAACAGCAAATTCACATGAATTGCTGAAAACGGGAAATAGCTATTTCGTTTCAGTGCACAGTCACTTTTGAAACACCCTGTACAAACATATTCCTCAGTCACTGCTCATTCGATTCCTTTCCTCACCATGCCTGACGAAGAACTCCCTAAATATTGGAAAGGGTATGGATAAGTTTTGCTAAAAATAGAGTGGTAATAAGGCATTAAGGATCTGATAAGTGGCTTCTATGCTTTTCCTCACTGCAGAGATGTAACCTCAGCCATACCAATTATGACCATTTTATGGTAAATTCATGTTTCTTTTTATGTACATCACTTTGATAGCAACAGTCTGTGAAAGTTTTTCTGCCTTCTATCTGATTGTAGACTAATGTGGAGCAGAATAATAACAAGTTTTTCATCTTGCAAGTCCTGAAAGACGAAAAGAAGGGCACATATGCAGTTTGGTTTCGTTGGGGTCGTGTGGGATACAAGGGACAGCACAAACTCATACCCTGTGGTACTGATCTTTCATCAGCGAAGAAAATTTTCTGCCAAAAGTGAGTTCATACCTATTCTGTCAACTTCAGCTTATACTGGGTGGCTCCCAAAAAGTCCCGAACTTCGTGCGTCTGCAGATGGAACACCATGCTAAGCATCGTCTTGAAATTTTCATTGTGTCATACCCAATTTATATAAATGCTCCTGTGAAAAATTATGGAAGTAGAGGCAATACTTTTCATTCAACCCTCGTACATTCTTCAGTTTTAGAATAAAAAAAAAGAGAAAAGTATATGTTACCATGATCAATCCTACAAAAGTCCACAGTGGAGACGTTAATGAAAGTGTCTTTATTTCAAGGGTTTATAAAGCTTAGTTCAGGAGGTATAAGGCCGTGAATGTGGAAGAAACTTTACCCTTTTTGAAGTCCTCAATTTGTTTTTTTTTTCTCTCTCTCTCTCTGAAACAACTGTAGAATTTGAGATAAATAGGATACCAAAATTCATCACTTGGATAGGACTGCTTTTTTTACTTAAAAAAATCCAAGACCATGACCTAACAGGTCGGTATCGGAAGAGCGAAATTCTAAAGCGAACAAACGAGATGCAGAAAGCATACCGAGTTGAAAACGTTGAAAGGACGAAGAAATGGAATGTAGACTAGTTGGAAAGTAGAAAAATTGGAAGATCGATAGACTCGGAAGACCGAATGCCGAAACTGGTTATATTTGCCTGACTCCCCCCTCCCCACTGGGGCCTGCATGAATCTAGGATACAAGTTCCAAGGCAGTCGACTCTCTAGTTCTCGACTCTAGTTGGAGACTTCTCTAGCTCATTTGTTCGACACCAGACGTGCTTATATCATCTCTATGTCATTGTGTGTGTCGTGAAGTACAAAAGAGTGGCCTTGCTCGTCGCTACGTAGAAAATGAAGATTTTGCGTTGAAAATCCGGATGATGACGTAAGCAAGGTGTTCCATGGGTTGCTCGAAACTATGCCAGATAATGCTGGTCCAATTACAAAATATTTTCGGGAGGCTTACATTGATCACAGGTCACGTGGAAGGCCCCGAACTTCTCCGATCTATAAACCTGCCTCTTGGAATGTTCATCAGCGCGCTCTGGTGGGAGACCCTTGTACAACAAATTCAATTGGAGCATGGCATAGGCAAATGTCTTGCTTGTTTGCCGATAATATTAATATTTTCGCCTTCATTCAGTGGCTCAAGAAAGAACAAGCAGTAACGGAATAGAAAATCATGCAGCTTGAGACCGGAAACGTCATTCGAAAGAAAACTGGCAGGAAAGACGAGCCGATACTGAGAATCATTGAAAAGTATGGCAACCGCCTGAACATGTCATTTCTAAGAGGGTTGGCACACAATATTATCTTGTGATATTGTTCTTGAGATTCACACGACTATCTTTCTGACTTGAGATGACTTGAAAATTTGCTTACTACATTCAGCATGTCATTCGATCTTCCGTACCTTCGAGATTGAATTCGACATTCGAAATAAAAGTTCTCCATTCGGTATTCCGTGCCTTTCGATAAAAAAATCTGCTTTTCGTCCTTTCACTCTTGGATGTATTCTGCATTCGGTTCCTTCTGTCTTCCAACCTTTCGAACTAATGCATTTCGACCATCAGATGCGGACTGGACCTGACTTTTTTTTTTCATGTCCCCTGATTTTAAGGTAGGGATGAATTCAAAAATCGATGGTCTGGGATTTGGAATTCGGCTTATAATTATTGTCGAGGGTCTCAAGAGGAATGGAAGGAGGAGTCTAACAGTGACCTCCGCCCTACAGTTTTGCTGAAGTTAATGTTTGAAGTTACTGCTAGATGGCCTTTTAACGGGTTGTAATGAAATAAGCATAACTTTCAAACCCTTTCTTGTAGAGATGTGCAATTAACGTTTTCACACAGCTAAGACATTGCTCTTTCAAATGGGCAAATATGATCGTCCTTGAGTGAAAGGTCAAAGGTCAAACAAACGATTCACTCTGAGAGGTCCACATTGCAAATTTGCTTATTCGACTGCCATTCTGGTCACGGATTCGTTTCGCACAATATCCAACTACCAAAGTTTAATCATACTCTAGGGTAACCATCTGCAAAATTATACGTCTTTTCTTTAGAGCATTTTCGAGATTTTCATCAAAATGTACCCTAAATGTCAAGAGGAAAGTGCGACTTTGGAGGTTCCCATAGAATAACTCGCCTCCCAAGTAATTTAGCAAAAAATCCGCTGTAATTCTGTTAGAGAGGAGTCTCTCAGTTTTGTAGACACCTTAATCGCCAGAATCCGTGCAATATCCTCTCAAAGGAGAGCGTTTTGCAGGCTGTTCTCCCCTATGTCCTCACTCCCCCTTGCCTGGGTCACTGCGCATGTACTCGTACATAGCTTCTGTATATCCCAGCTCCAGATGTACAGGGTGATCCAAAAAAATACGACGGTTTGTATTCGTTGGTACGGGCGCGCCAAGGAGGTGGCGCTGCAGGTGACTACCTGGAGGTGTTGGCCACATGTGGGAGACTAGTCAGTCATGGAGCGTTCATGCGTGCAAGACAGGATCCGCATTGTGGAGATCTATTTGCGAACCCTCTCATTCGAGGCAACCAGGCGCGAGTTCCACCGCATTACCAAGCGAAGGGAGGCTCCGACAAATGACACGATTCAGCGATGGGGGACGCAAGTGGTGTACAGACGGATCCGTCAGGGATGCCAAACCAACGGGAAGACCAGTTTCAGTGCGCACACCAGAAATCATTGAACGTGTGATACAAGCCGTGACGAGCAGCCCAAGAAGGTCCATCCGGCGACGTTCACAGGCGATGACCTTGTCCTATTGCAGCTTGCAGCGCATTCTTAGGCGTGACCTACACTTACGAGCGTTAAAATTCAAGTTGTGCAAATCTGACAGATGCCGACAAGATTGCGCGTGTACTTTTTGCGGAAACCTTTCTGGAGATGTGGGCCAATGACCAAGCCATTGTGGACGGCTTGTTGATGTCTGATGAGGCGCGCTTCTTCTTGTCAGGTTCTGTCAACAAACAGAACTACCACTTTTGGGGAGATCGTAATCCTATGGAACTGCACGAGATGCCACTTCACAGTCCGAAACTGACGGTGTGGTTTGGGGTGATCAGCACCAGCATCATCGGCCCATTCCTCTTCACAGATGCGGCCGGGGGAAACATGCACCGTAACGGCATAGGACTACCTGGACATGTTGCGGAACTTTTTTGTATCGGAACTGCAGCGATGTGAACGGCCTGTCATCTGGTATCAGCAGGATGGGGCCATGCCTCATACGGCACGAATATCCATGGCCAAACTTCGCGTCCTGTTTCCGGGGCCTATCATCTCTCGTTTCGGCGACATCCATTGGCCATCGCGTTCACCCGACCTAACTGCACCCGATTTCTTTCTTTGGGGGTACCTCAAAGGAAAGTTGTACGACACACGACCAACAACATTGGACGAGCTGGAGACATGTATCCGACAGGAGATTGCTGCAATTCCTGTTGTCATTCTGGAGCGCACTATGTGCAGCAGTTTCGTTGCGCTCTTACATGAGTGCGTGGACAAACGTGGCGTTCACTTGTCTGATGTGATTTTCAAAAAGTAAAAAACACTTACGGATAAACTCCCATCTTTTGTGTACCATTTGGGAAAAAATTAACTTTGATAACTATTAATAAACCTGTATATCTCCTACGTAAAATCGTCATATTTTTTTAAATTATAGATCACCCTGTATAAGAGTAGGCCTACGTCCAAGAAATGACTTGATAGGGCCAAGTTCTTTATTTTTTGCCATAGTTCCGTATGCTCCTTGTGTCCGTCGTCTTCGAGCATGAAGATGGAGACTGAGATTAATTAATACGTCCTTGCATCATATATCAAAAGTGAAACATGCGATTTATTTATTTATGATAGAAGTCCAAACTTCAAATTTGCTTCTTAGGCTGCCATTCCGGTTGCACATTTATTTCGCACAGATGCTTAATAATAAAGTTAGACCATCGTCTGGGTGAATTTCATACAAATTTTCATGAATTTCTTCAGAGCATTTTCAAGATTTCTTTATCAAAATGTAGTCTGAATTGAACACGAAATTGCAACTTCTGAATGCTCACACGGATTATTCACTTCTTAAACACATTGTTGACCGGGTGCCTGGACTTGTCACATCCCCTGTGGACCGGACATTTTTCAACTGAGAATACTAGAGTGCACTAGATTATAAAAACATACATAAATGTTGAACTAGCCAAGATTTTATCTTGAAATTTGGTATAAGTACTCACCAATGCCGCTAGTAGTGCTTGAGAGTATGGTATCTTTGGAAACATGACCCTTTGTGCAGTGGCGCCTTGCAGAAAGAGCATGTGTAGCGTGTTTCACTGCGCTTTTTGTGAGCACTGCATACTTTGCATGGTTTTGTCGGGAACTTCTTCTTTCCAGACCCAACAATACTTTCTAGGGTGTGCTTCTTCATGTCGCCACTCAGTCGTCCTGGAGGATCAAACTTAGGTGTCCTTTCGGTTGGTGTCTGGGAGGTTGTTGGTTGTACTTCGTCCTGTGGTTCTTCAGCATTGTCAGAGGCCCAAATTCTTGCTGTGTTGATGAGAAAGTTCTTGTTTGTCATTTTCTTCTGAGGGTTCTGCATGTTGTGCACCCTAAATGCATTGAAGAGTGCACAGTTGATGAGCCACAGAACAACTTTCTTACTCCACTTTATTGTCTTACGGAGGATTGGGTAATAGGAAAGGTATTGATCAGCTCTGTCAACTCCTTTCATAAACTTGTTATATTCCAGGATGCATTTAGGTTTCTTCACCCGCTTTCCTCTCTTAGTCTCGACGGAATACAATGTGGCTTGATGAAGGGTACTAATCATACGCACTTCTCTCTTATCCTTCCATGTCTGCAGTAGCACATCATTCTTGCGAGTGAAAATACTCTCACCTGTTTTCAGTTTCTTTGAGGCCTCTTTGAAACTTTTTGGTAGCCCCCTATTGGCTCTTATGGTGCCACAGACCCCTGTCTTCCTT